ACAAGAAAACCTAGCCTGACATAGTCAGGAAAACTAAGACAATAAATGAAAAACTAGAAAAATCCATAAAAAAAACTCAATTGTCGATCTCCACGGTGAAGCTTTGATCCTTTGCTCCATTCCTCAAGTCAAGAAAAAAGCTTTTTCCTCTTCTAGGTCACAAAGAATCTGATTAAACTTGCCCTCTTTTATAAAAAGATTAATGGTTTTTCTTTACAAGATGCTCGCTTCCAGCGAGGAGAATACTGAAAATTACGTGCTTCTAGTGTGTCTTGCTCACTACGTTGCTCGCTTCAGCGAGCAGCCTAGTGAGGAAATAGGATATGCTTGTTGAACTTGCTTGCTCATGGAGGCTTGAAAATCAGCACGTCTCTAATGTTTGCTCGCTGAGACGAGCAACTTAGCGAGCTGCAAAATAACACGCTTTGATTTTTGCTTGGCTTGAGTCTTGTATTCCTCTCTAGCTTCCTCGATCCATCAACGCTCTGATATAGCACTTTTAGCCTGAAACCAATACATTTTTTAGTCAGTATCTTACCAAGCACGAAATCTCCAAAGTCTTTTGCATTTGATAATATTTTTCATTTCTTTGACCATATTAAACAATATTTATCATACTTTTAGCCCTAAAAACATAATATGTTTCACACTTTAACACTTGTATTGCTGTTGATGTTGCGTTTTGAATGGGAAGCAAACTAGATAGCTAGCAAATTAATTAAAAAAGAGGAGATGCTGTATTAATTAAGTGCTCGGCAAATAAGTCAAGCCCTGACTAATTAGAAAACAAACCGCATTTTTCTCATTTAAGTGTACTGCATTTTTTTTACGGTTGCCCACTTGCAATGCATATAATAAAAAAATTATATTTTTGGATAACTAAGAGCTAGGATCAACCGAGATCTTCTTGTTCTTATCTTTGTTTTTAGTAACTGATGAAACTATGGTGGCCTAAAAGGTGAACTATACACACATTTTTCACATATATGTGGCACTAAGCATATTTGTATTTACATGAACATGATGGCATGACTATACAGACCAAGCTTTGGCCACAAACCAAGTTTGGTATACGTACATTGGAAAGTGTATTATGAATTAGTCACAAGAAAGGGTGATGAGATTCGTCCTGATCTGAATTAAGTGCAACTTCCGGGAGGGTAGGGATATATATATTAAACATACAAAACACCACGCACTTCAACCACCTTGCGCAGAAACAAGTGAGTGCGCCTACGCTATAGCCATTTTTTCCAATTAATAATCAATAATTTCACTTTTATTAGGTTATTGGAACATTATAGTGTTTTACACATATACATTACTGTACCGTTTTAGTATTTTCCTTCTTCAGGTGTGCTGGATGGACGTCATAGAGTGCGTTCAAATCTGTCCTCTTATTTCACTATATTTTGTCTAAGTTGTGGCTGGCCGTGATTAAGAGCGTTCTCAACAGAGTGAAAATGAAATCAAAAGGTCGAGTTTGTGCAGTGAAAGTGATGAAGTAGCAAAAAAGAGGCATCAAATTGAATCAATCCGAAGACGAAAGCGTACCAAAGAAATGAAAGATCATAATTAAATAATCTCATTACCTTAACAAGACATGAAAAGTGATAACTATCAATCAATGAACCCATTGGTATTGCATAGTTAATTAGCTGTTTGATTAATATATATAGTGCAAGTCTACAAATAACAAAGAATTGTATATTTTTGTTGAACATTAACTCTGTCATACTAGTACTCGAGAACGAAGAATGTGTTTAATTAATGGAGTGAAAGGAAAATGACAATATAAAAGCTATTCATGATGTCAAAGTGCATTATCAAGTTTCACTCATTCTGTCTTGAGTCGTCCCACTAAGAATACGATGGCATATATACGTTTAAACTTACGTTTGAAAGAAATTATCAACCTATATAAATAATTTACTTATTCACAGGCGTTGTTTAATAAAATTAAAGGAAATTCTAGAATGACTAATCATAAAATAAACTTAGTGGTAGTATTTGGAATAGGCCATGAACACTACGGATATGTATGTACTATCGTAGGATGCTGAAAGAATATATTATAATTAATTTATGCCTTGGACAAATTTTCTCCTTACGTACGTCTTTTACCTTACTCGAGAATTCTCTTGATTACTTAATTAAATCACCAAGCATGGATATCATAGAATGGTTGAAAGAAGGATACAAAAAGAGGAAGCAAAAAACAAACAAAAGAATCTTTTTTTAAAAGAAAAAAAGACGACAAGCGATTCGTAATTATAGAATCTTTTTTTTTTTTTTTTTTTCATTGAAACTTCTCAAAATGATTTTTAGAATCAGTACGTACGGTGCTAATTGAAATGAAACATGGAATCTACGGGTGGCTCACCGTACGTATGTGGATGCATGGTGGCATGGTGCGCGTCTTAATTCTATGAAGTGGCCACCAAGTTTCCCACTTGGTACGAAGTGGCAGCTGTCAATTTTTCTACAAACCATGTTTGTCCACTGTGACACTGCTTACAATTTCCATTTGGTCGCTTCTAAATATTGCACTATTTGCTCCTCTCTTTAATACATCTTTTTTTTTTAATGCCAAAAATTAGCTTTCTAGTAATTACCAAATTTTCACGTCTGATTCCTACAGTTCGGACTGAACTCGACTTATCTTATTTTGTATTCCTCTTGTCTGTTGGATGAAGGGGTGTCGAATCCGTCGAAAAACTCAGCAACTAGTTTTGTTAATGTAAGAATTTCCTCGAACCACCGTGAGTTTGAATAGGCATTTCTTCATGCTGACAAATTACTTGAATGTTGGCCGTATTTTTTACTTGATTCTGGCCACAAGATTTAGATTCTTGAATTCTCCTTATGTTGTTTTTTCTTTTTTTATAATCCACATGTATCCTCTCTTTTTTAAGCATATTCGAACCAGAAACATCTATATTATAGTAGGATTAATTCTCTCAAAGAATTTTTTTTTTGCATTCACAAACTGTTGAATCCAAGACTTTACTTACTCAAAATTAAATATACACCACTTGAAGCAACTCTTTTCCTTCCTTTGGATTTAGATGCAAAAATGTTGAATTCCTTATTTTGTTTTTGGGATATATTTTTCTTATGTTGTAGGAAAAAAATTACCTCATGTTATAGAAATAAAGTATAAGCGAGACCCACAGATAAGAGGAGAGAGAAAAAAGAGTGGTGGGACTCAACCGCTTCTTATGTATGTAGGAGAGTTATTTATCTCATGTAAAATGAGATAAACATAACCCTTTATTTTTATATTGGGAGAGAATTTGGCCTACGGATTAAATTTATCTCCTGCCCTACTTAACCTAATTTTATTATGCCAGACTAGCTAGTACTTGGCCTAACTTAGCCCGTATGGTACAATCAAAAGTCGTTTTTTCTCTCATTTACAAAATGAATATGACGAGTGATCTTGAATCTTGATGATCAAGGGTTCTCAACACAAACTTCTATACAAATGAGGCGTTTACATAATTTGCATTAATCTTGCCGTCCACGGATTTATTTATTTATTTTTGTTGGTAATCACCGTCCACGGATTTATCATCATGATAGTTGAGAGGGAAAGTATTATTACAGTGTAAAAGTTATATTTTTTTGGTAAACTAGTGTAAAAGTTATATTATTTTCATAGCAAGAAAACTAATTCAGTTCAGATCATTTTAAATCGTTAATAGTTTATTTGTAGTGAAATATTTCTTAGTTGTTATGAAGTTATAATTTTATTCATTGGTTTTTATTTTTCGTCTTCTGTTAATTAAAAAAAATTAATGTAAAATGTTGTGTGAGGACAAAAAAAAGTGAACATTAATCTTTTTAATAAAAAAGATGAAAAAGGAAAAACTGTAGATGAAAACAACATGACTCGCCACTTAAAATTAAGATGATTAAGTAAATTAAAAATTAATTCAACTGTACTTTTGGTCCTTTTATTGAGGTAAATAGGTGATTTTAGTCCTGTAATATTTGTTTGCTTGAGTTTAATTCTTCTAATTTTTTAATTGCTAAACCCAAGTTTTTGTTAGTTTTTCTCTATCTAAAATTCCTAGGTTCTCATTTTCTACTCAAATAATTAGTGGCTTATGACGAATTTAGGATAAGAAATATTTGAAAAATTTAGAATTTGAAAATTTGATGAAATTTAAAAGATTTTGAAAGAAGTGAAATCCGAAATTTAAAAGGAAAATTTTGAAAAAGTCTGATTTTTGGTGAAATTTGATTGGTGAGTTTTAAGCAGAAGAGGGTTTACAACTATTTAATTGGTTCAGTGTAGGGAGACTTTGAGCATAAACAAGGATTTAAGATTCGGAGGTAGAAATTAAACCAGGTTACAACTGTTAAAAAAAAAAGCCACTGTAATACTCTGGTATTAGTCGATATATTTTTATAAATATATTTACTACATATGTATATATCGAATTTAACCATCAATTGGCTGATTGTAACCCAATAACCCCGTAACTAACTAATCGGATCATTATATATATATATGAATAGGATATACTTATATTGATATAAGAATAAGAAATCTTACACTCATTCTTGGATGTTAATTCACTTATTGCATCCAATAGTTCAAAAACTGAAAAATTAGAAAATAAAAAATAAATTAAGAGTATAACTTATACTTATATGTAATTATTTTGATTATATATATATATATATATATATATATATATATATATGAAATAATTGTAAGACTTCTTAAACTTACCTGGATTATTAATAAGCAAAGTGTTGATTATTTTGCTTTTGAACCTTAACGCTAGCCAATAATTTAGATTGCAGAAAGTATTGAGCATCTTTTACGATTATTTATAAATTTACTTAATATCTTTATTGGTTGGGTATAAATATTAAGAAGGCCTGCATTGAATTGCAGATAAACAAAGTCAAGTATAAGCAATATCAGCTCTCACGCACCAAACTAGAGAAGAAGAGAGAGAGAGAGAGATTAATTAATACGTACGATGGGTGCGTGGTTCAGAAATGCAAAACCATATCTGCTATTGTTGGGAGTTCAATTTGGTTCAGCCGGAATGTTCATTTTTGCAATGGATGCTATCAACAAGGGTATGAGCCATTACATCTTCATCGTCTACCGTAATGCCATCGCAGCTATAACTCTCGCTCCATTCGCATTTTTTCTAGAAAGGTCTCAGCGCCCCTCCTATTCATTCATAATAAACATCAACCACGCATACATACACTTTGTGTCTTTAAACCACTTTCGAGTTTATTTTGTGCGTAATATTTCAAGCATATTTAGCTCTGCTAATTGAAATGTTAATTTTTGCAGGAAAATTAGGCCCAACATGACTCCCCGGGTATTTCTAGAGATTATGGCACTGGCTTTCTTCGAGTAATGATCATCACCTTACACTTAATTGTTAGTATATGTATGTATTTAGTGTATTAATTGCTTTTAGTACAAGATAATTTAATTATATGTTGTTACTTACAGAATAATACTGGATCAATGCTTCGCCCTCTTGGGGATGAAATTAACGTCGGCATCTTTCCTCTCTGCTGTGATGAACTCCGCACCTTCCATTACTTTTGTGTTGGCAGTCATTCTAAGGTAAATAATTAATTAATCAAATAATTATAACTAACATATACAAAAGGCCCTAATGGTCCAACATCGGATTAGTTTTAATTTGCTGGTAAGGATCAAAGCACTTCACTTCAAAGGTTTAGGTTCAATTCCATTCCCTTAATTACTTGTGGATCTATTATTACCATTGTGAAATTTAAATTATCTTTGGAGCTTCACTTGCTACCCTTGAAATGGTTAATTAATCTCCCTTCTTTCTAAACTTTCATGTAACGATTTGTTTTTTTTGTTTTTTTCAATCTCCTGAGCTTCCACTCGCATGACTTCTCCTTGGAAAGAAATTAATCTAGCATGAATGTAGGTTGTTCAAATATATAAAACCATTAATGTAGCCTCTTCTAACAGTTTAAGCTTTTGGGTTGAATTGGTTCTTTACATGGTATCAGAGCTTCATGTCTCGAGTTCGATCCTCACCGCCCTCCACTTTCTCTTGTGAAATTTCTTAGCAAAGGTAGATTAAATTGATTCTTTACATAGATCACTTTCTAGTTTTGCCAGCATCCACTTTGGAAGTGGATCGAAAGCGTGCAGCTTCCCCTTCTAATTAATGTTTTAAGTTACCACTTTCTATATCCGAAGCTCACAAAATACTGTTATAAATTAAAGTGTGAGGGGAGAATTTTTATATTGATAAATAATGAAACCAGTGAAAACATATATATATAACATGTAAAGAATTATTTTAACCAAAAATCTTAGGGATTGTCTTTTCTTATGTTGCATAGGAGAAGAGCTATCTCCTACACACACATAGAGGAGAGAGAATAAGGAAGAGAAAAAAAAAAAAATAGGTCCCACGTTTACTTTGTGTCTTATGCATAAGATAACAATCTTATGTATCATAAGATTATTATTTCCCAAATCTTAAGATGTTAGGTGAAAGTCTTTTTAATGATTTATATTATTCACTATCTAACACAAATCCTCACGTAAGAACTCTTTGTGCTTGAGATGTAGATATTGTATAGGCCCAATATTTTTTTATTTTAGCTTATGCTTATTTAATTTCAAAAATAGGAAAATGTGAGTATCAAATTCGTGATCTTATGATCACTTTTAAGTTCTGATATCATATAAGGAATCATTTCAACTTAAAATTATAAGATATTGAGTAATTTTTTTTTTAATTATTTATATTATTCTCTGGTATCAAGACTTAAACCAGTATTAAAGTTTTGTTTTTCGTTTAAGATGTTCCTTCACCTAACAAAGATAGCTTTCTCCTCCCATCCAAAACAGAGTCACACACACATACAGAGAGTAAGAAAGACAAAAACATTTATTTTATAATTTTCGGTTGCATGCAGTAAATGCCTAAGGGATATAGAGAATCATACATTTTAATTATACTAAGCAGATTGGAGCACATGAAGATTAAGGAGGTATCATGTCAGGCCAAAGTGATTGGGACCGTAGTAACTTTTGGAGGCACGTTGCTAATGGCACTCTACAAAGGTCCCGCAGTCAGTGTCGTGGGATCATCAACAAGCCATGTCGGCCAACCTGAGAATGTGAACGACCCTACAGGAAGCCACTGGGTCATAGGGACATGTTTCCTACTCATCGGTTGTGCTGGCTTTTCTGCGTTTTACATATTGCAGGTCCATTATGGAACATAAATATAATTCCACTTCCAAACTATGTTTAAACATCAAATAAAATCACATACATATATTAATAACCTAATAGAAATGTATGCATGGTTTGGTGATTTGCAGGCTATAACATTGAGAAAGTATCAAGCACCAATGTCCCTGGCCACATGGGTTTGCCTCATAGGTGCACTTCAAAGCTCTGTAGTAGCTCTGTTCGCGGAGCGCCACAACCGTCATGCTTGGTCTCTGGGTTGGGACACACGACTCTTTGCTCCTGCTTACGCGGTCAGTGCTTAGTAATACGTAACTAAAACAGCCATGTGGTCTGAAAGTGAAAAACAAAACCTCAAAGTTGAACTATAAAACATATTCAGTTTTCTGATTTCTTAAGTTTCATTAAATGTTTTACTTTTTTCGTTTTTCTTAATTTATTACAGGGAATAGTTACGTCAGGAGTTCAGTATTACATTCAAGGCATGGTCATAAAAGCAATGGGTCCAGTTATCGTGACTGCTTTTAATCCCCTGCGTATGATCATTGTCACGGCCCTAGCTTGCATCATTCTCTCTGAGAAACTCTACCTTGGAAGGTACTAGCTAGCATGTTGCAAATTCTATAATTCATTTTTTTTTTTCCCATTTTTTCTTAAATAATATTGACGTTAATTATTTCCCCCATTTTTCTGTTTGATTATTATGATATCAGTATTATTGGAGCAATAGTAGTTGTAGCTGGACTTTATCTAGTTGTGTGGGGAAAATCTAAAGAGTACAAAGGTGGAATGCCATTGTCCCCTGCAGTGCAAGACGAACATCAGCTACCTGTCACAGCTCCCAGCAACGATAGCAGCGATATTAACAAAGCTCAATTGGTCATTCACGGTGATAGAAAATGCGATGAGGAGACCACATTATCAAAAACAGAAAGTTAGCTGAATTAAGTGGGGTCTCGGCTTTGTTTACTCACACATTGGTGTAACATTTTCAAATATTCATACATATGTTACTCACAACATGGAAATGGGATGGGTAGCATGACGTACGATCGAAAGCTGCATCATTGTTGTTGTGTTGAGTGACCTGTTTTGCTTTCGATTCGGCCATGCCTTATTTACTCGGTTTCACACGCATGATTTAATTAAGCCTACGATATAACACTTGAGAAGCATAATAAAATTTTGATCATGATTTTAAATAGCAATTGTTTTCTATGCAGTACAATCAGAAACTTGCCATATCAGAGAGCCAAAACACAATGAGCACAGGAAAAGCATCTTGCTGGTATTGAAAAGTTAACAATAATACATATACGTTTATATACACCGCTGCTGATCTAATTATGAGTCTAACAGAAAGCCAAACTAACTAACTAACGTACCAAAACAGAAAGTGAACTGACTAACTGACTAAAAACCCATACAGCATAACTTAGTGCACGTGTTAAAAATGATATTTAAGTCCAAGCAGTAAGGGAAGACTGAGATGTAAAATGGATTGGAGTCAGAGGGGATGGCCATCTTCAAGCCTTGACCCATAAAGTTCGTTTTGTGAGGGGTTATTAACCCCTAATTTTCAAAGCCTTGCGATTCGAGAAATTGTTTGAGGGTTATTATAATATTTTAAAATAAAATATAAAATATGAAATATGAAGTAAATTATAACTAAAAATGATAATAAATATATGAATTTTATCAAAATATCCTTTATTAATTCTCTAATCTCGAAACGACATAATTTTTGAATCGATGGAATAATTTTATCTCATGTTATCCGAAAAATAATAAACCCATAAAAAATACTAATTTTCTTAAAATAATTTTTAACCCAAACTGCTTTTTGTTTTTTGTTTTTTAACCCAAACTTTAACGGTGGATAGAATGTGAGCCATGAAGTATTGTCGCAAGCGGCGAGGATTTCGTGGTCGATGTTTTGGGTGTAGTGGAACATGACGTAAGGATTAGGCTGCAGCCAGCTTGAACAAGTTGTGGTGACACTACAATTTGCTGGATTTGGGGCTTCTATCTAAAAAATCTAATTATATTTACCAGTTTATTTCGGTTTAATTCTCTTCCCGAATCAATGCATTATGCATAGGCTTAGTCTACACATCCATTGCCTTCTAAATTTTTTATTATTTTTTATTAAATAAAATGACTAATAGCAAATTCTCGATCTCTTTAGTTTTATTTTGTACATTTTTATAGTTTTATTAAAATTTAAAAATATTTTCTAATAAAATTTTTATGTTTCTAATTTTTTTTATAATTTAAATACTCTTTTAATTAGATCGATCCTTCAAAAAATAATGTAATAATTAAGTTTTTAAATTCTATAATGACAATACTTAATAGCTTACATAACTACAAACATCCATTAACATAATTTAAATTGCCACCGACCAATAAAAACATATTTGAAATTGCAAAAAATATAAAAAATTAGGAAAAAAAACTTCTGAATTTTAAGAAATTATTAAAAAATTAGTATCACTTGATCTGGTATAATAAAAAAAAGCTAAAAGGGTTATACAAAATCTTTTTCACTAATTTTTACTGGAAAAATAAATTGTTAAATTGTTTACCTATACTGAAAGTATTATTGAATAATAAAAATATTTTTTGTTATTATTACTTAATAATAAATATATTTATTTTTTAAATTCTTAGGAAAATTTTGCCTACGTTTCAGTTTGTATTGTATGCAAATATCAATTTTATTAGAAAATTAAATTGTAAAAAATTAATATTTTAAGTATTTATTTATTAAAAATATTAAATGTATCATACTCAGTGAAAAATTTTTTTTTTTTTTTTTTTTGGAAATGTAGCTTTGTATGGCCCATGGACTGACCATAACTCGGAAGATTTTGTGAACTTTTGGGGTGTGTGTGTAAACTTTTATTTTTATTGATCTTTTGGTCCTATGAACTTTTAAACCTTATTCCATGGGCTAGGGCCTAATAAAATAGTTACACATAAACTTGACAAAAAAGCAAGTTAGATATTCAGTGATCATATTCTTTTGAGTAAATACTCGTTTTAGTCCCTGGCAATATCCACGAAGGCCTTTTCAGTCCCTAGCAATAAAAAAGGAACAAATTGGCCCCTGAAATTACAAAAAAGGGGCCATGTTGGTCCTTCTGTAAACTCCACCGTAACGGCCCAACTAACGGTGCCCATGTGGCACGTTAGTGTGCTGACGCGGCTTGGACGTTGGACAGCGTGGATGAGCAAACAACGACGTTTTATTGCAAATGGGTTCAGAGCTTTTCCAAAGTAGGGCACAACGTCATTTCTTGCTTTGATCATGAACCCTAAATATGAAAATACCTCAAATTCCTTCAATCGAACCCTAAACAGACACAAAACCCCCAAATTGATGAGCAAAACCCTAAACAACAATACGCCCCCAAAATCTCTGGACGTTGATGATTGAAACTCGACGACAGTAGAGGACATCAACCGGATTTGCTGGGCGTGGGAGAAGATGATTGTTTCTTCTGGCATGGGGGGATCAAGTAGGAGTACTTCAATGGGGGGAAGAACACTGACAAGGACCGTCGGTCGTAGGTGCAAATGTGGGAGACAAAGTATTGTATATACCTCTAAAACTGAGAGAAACCCAAACAGGGCTTTCCTTGGGTGTCCTAATTTCAAGGTATACATGTGTAATGTGCCCCTTTATTAAGTTGAAACACTTGCTAACCGTGTTTTTTTTTTTTTGCAGGAGAAGAAGCCCTATTGTGATTTTTTTAGATGGGTAGATGACATGTGTAATGAACCCATGGAGCTGGAAGAAGCAAGAATTCACACTGTGGGGTTGGATGTTGCTGAAATTAATTTCAAGTTGAAGTATGTGGACATGATGATGAGAGAGCAAGATGTGAAGATTACTGAGCAAGGAATGAAGCTTCATGAGCAGGAAAGAAAACTGAATGATGTATACCTAAAGATGGTGGAGGAGTTAGATAGGATGGACAAACAAGTTAGGACAGTTGATAGGTCAGCTAGGGTCTTAGGTGCTGCTTGTGTTGGTGTGATCATTATCTGTATGTTTGTTGTTAGTGTGGTAAAAGTGAAAACAAGTTACCCCAATGTATTTTTCCTTCAATGAATTGTAATGAGTACTCAGTACTATTGTTATACAAATTAATGAAGAAGGTTGTATTATATGGAACATTCTCTGTTGGTTCGAATCTGTCTGTTTGTGTATGGTATCATATGGCCTATTATAAAGAAGCTTTCGATGTATTCCTATATATCTTCTGGCATCATATATTTGTGTATCAACTACTGCACTACTGGATGCTAAGTTTCTTTTAGTATGGTATATTGCATAGTTAGGCATGGAATGAAGGCCAATAGCTTGCTACATTGTATCACAAACCATCGATGTACAGATATAGATGCAAAAATCATGAAATTGCTGTTACAGAAGTTCCATATTGTTATGCACATTTGTTAACCATGGCAAAACACGAGAGCCATTTTGGTCCCTGACAAATTACATCGAGTACCATTTTGATCCCTGACAAAATGCACGGGGCCCATTTTGGTCCCTGACCACAGAAAAATAAGACATGACTTCATTGATTTTCTATCCAGTACAAGTTTACAGAACAAAAGTGCATAACAGATGACATGGAGGTCCAACAACTACAATTACATAACTCAGTTAGGCATAACAGTAAAAAATGGACATGCTTGTATGACATTCATCTACCCTGTTAGACATAACAGCTGGAACATTCATCAACCCTGTGACCATTTTGGTCCCTGACAAAATGCACGGGGCCCTTATTGGTCCCTAAACAGAGAAATGGCTACACATATTTGTCTACTTTTGTATGCAGTCCAAATTTGTTCAAAACAGAAGTGCAATACATCAGATACAGATGTTGTCCAATATGTTCAACCAGTAGACATGCAATACTCAGCTAACAAACATATCTCAGTTAAATATATTTGTCCAAGAACTACAAAAGAGTAGTGCATTACAAAATAAAGCCAACTGCCAGGAATGAAAAGAAAGGCCCCTAAATACAATATGGCTAGAATTAAAAAAAAAAAACATTGACTATATAAGGCCTCCAAAAACATAATGGCCAGAATTTACAAAAAAGTCAGTCACATTATATGCAGTCCTTGTCAGTTGTCTCATGCACTACTCCCACTTCATGTACAACATTCATTCATTTTCTTGAGGCAGGCCTTGGTGCCATGAAACCAGGGGTTGTCATGAAGGCCAAAAATCTGCTTCGTGTGCCACTGGATGCTGCATTCCTTGTTTCCTCACTCAACATTTCATTTTCCTGTTGTGGATTTGATGGAGGTGGGCTGCTTCCTCTCAAGTTGCCTTCATGTGGCTGAGAACTACCATGTGCTGCAAGGCCTCCTTGATTTGACATGTAGGCCTGGATTGCTTCTCAAAAGCTCTCCTAAGTAGTCTCTCAATTTTGCATATTGTTCTTTTTCACACCCTTCAATTCTGGCCTTGGTCACTGATGTGCCTCTGGCAAGTGTGGTTTTTCAGTATTAAAATTGATAAGAATTGGGTCATAAGAGAACAATTTAAATACATATTTGCTATTTATATTGATTCTTTCTATGTCAATAATATTCACCTTTTGGTTGTGTTTTTACAGGAAAAAGAGGAGTGAAAATTACAAATTATAAAAAGCCTGTTAACGCGACTCCACACACAGGAAAGTTCCATGTTGCGCTATGTTGCATAATACAAAGTCCAGGAAATTGGCGCTAGTTGACGGCAGAATGGCGCAAACCAGCGCCACCATGCCAACCAGCGCCAAGTGGTGCCAAGTAGCGCCATTCCATGCCATCTTGCGCCAATTTTGGAGAAAGAACATGGCGCCTAGTGGCGCCAACTGGCGCCTAGTGGCGCCAACTGGCGCCACTTCACGACCAATTTGTTC